TATGCATTTAATATAAAAAATAAAAAAAATAGTGTCAGTTAGTATTAAAATAGTTGTGAAAAGTAAAAAATCAAATCAAAATTAAAATTTTCATTCTTTAAAGAATTCTTAAATTAAATTTTAAACTCTTAAAGTTAAACTCAAATTCAACATTTAAATTATTTTCTTAACAGCATGCAAATATCCATTCAAGAAGCAAATGCTGCTATAGGATCTGTTAATTCTGCCTATAATGGCATAATTTTGAAAGGGTTTTATCTCCCTAAAAGAACAAGTTCTCTTATTAAAACAGACTATTTTTTTAAACTGCAAGATGTAAAAATTGGCTAGGTGATTTAGAAAACAAGCTCTTAGACACTATAGGAGAGTTTATTATAAGGAGAAATAAGCATGCAGTTTTGTTACTTTATTTTGATCTCTTCATTGTGCTTAATCTTCTTTGTTTAAATTATTAATTTAATTTAGTATCATTTAAATTAAAATCTCTTTAAATATTATTTGAGAACAGTTTTATGATATCTCCATAAATATTCCCTACAATAAACTTACCATATATTTTAATAGTATTAAAGTAAAGGAGGTAGACATATAAGCAAAATTGAATATAAATTAAAAAAAAATTATTTACCCAGCTTAAGAATTGAAGATGAAGAGTGAAACTAATAAAGAAATAAATAAAAAGAATTATATTATAATAAGAATTGGTGTAGATAATATTCAAATTCACTGTTATTTAAAATCTTCTAAAATGAAACTTCCTTTTTGTTTAAATAATGTCTTTAAATCAAACCCTGATTGATTCATAAATTGTCCTTTCAGAATTAAAGCTCCTTTAACTTGAAACATTGCCTTCTTGGAAATAAGAAGGGTAGTCATGTAATTTGAAGCTAAAAATAAAATAGATGATAAATACTACCTTCGAAAATATGGTTATGTTATTGTAGTGGAATCTAAAATTATTTTAAAAGATCTTTGTAGTGTTTATCGGTGGATTAAATTTTTTATCCTTATTTTACATCCCATATATAGATAGACTTATCACTACTACCAGATGCTAATTTATTTTCATCAGGAGAGAAACAGACTGAGTAGACAGCATTAGTATGATCGTCTAATTTGTCTTTTTATTATCCTGTTTTGACATCCCATAGACGGATAGATTTGTCACTACTACCAGAAGCTAATGTATTTCCATCAGGAGAGTAACAGACTGAGTAGACAGTATTAGTATGACCATCTAATTGTTGGTGATTGGTTCTCAAATGGCAGTGAATGCTTTCTTTGCTTCTTGAAATAAGTTTAATTATGCATTTAATATAAAAAATAAAAAAAATAGTGTCAGTTAGTATTAAAATAGTTGTGAAAAGTAAAAAATCAAATCAAAATTAAAATTTTCATTCTTTAAAGAATTCTTAAATTAAATTTTAAACTCTTAAAGTTAAACTCAAATTCAACATTTAAATTATTTTCTTAACAGCATGCAAATATCCATTCAAGAAGCAAATGCTGCTATAGGATCTGTTAATTCTGCCTATAATGGCATAATTTTGAAAGGGTTTTATCTCCCTAAAAGAACAAGTTCTCTTATTAAAACAGACTATTTTTTTAAACTGCAAGATGTAAAAATTGGCTAGGTGATTTAGAAAACAAGCTCTTAGACACTATAGGAGAGTTTATTATAAGGAGAAATAAGCATGCAGTTTTGTTACTTTATTTTGATCTCTTCATTGTGCTTAATCTTCTTTGTTTAAA